CTGTGACTGACATTTATTCCCTGTGCAATCACCCAGCATTTGTCTCCAGAAGCATGGGATTTTTAGGTCATTGAGGACCTTTCCTGCTATTGTAGGTAGGTTACTGCATAATACCTTCAATAAATATTTTGCATTCTGTTTGTAAAGTTTTTATGTCTTCATTCAGTTGGAAAGGTGCTGCTGACCTTTCCAGTGATAATGTTTAGAAATGGACTTTTTTCAGTTAATTTATTAATGAAGTCTATCTATCTATCTGTCTGTCTGTCTATCTATCTATCTATCTATCTATCTATCTATCTATCTATCTATCTATCTTGGTTTTGTGCTGAAAATAAAGCATGAAATACAAGATGTTGAGAAATATCTCCTGCCATAAGAAATAATGGCACCTGCACAGGAGCCACTTCTAGAAAGAAAACATCAATTTAAGAGTCTCTTTTCTGAGAAATTTTCTGGTACGTTGTTGGGTGAACATGGGAAATCACCCCCATCATCTGACTAGAGTTGCACAGCCACATTTACATAAGAGGTGAATCTATTCTTGCTTTGAATTTACAGAAATTCTGTAATTTCTGTGCTTCAGAAGCAGTAGTGCTCAGAAACTGTCCCTGAATCCTCAGTGCATCAGTCCTGTGCAAAAATCACAAGGGCTACAAGGGCTGCAAGTTTCATTTTTGCCAAAATAAGCCTCTTTTGACCCTTCAGCAATCACTTTGTGGGAAAGTTATCATATATGCCTGTTGTATATCAGAAGATAATTAAAAAAGAATGCTGTATATTTCTGAATAAAAATAGCATGTTTAATATGAGATAACACTTCCTTTGTTATCTTTAATGTAGTTTTCTGCAATTTGTTTACATTGGGAAAAGACTTTTTAAAGAAGATAGATGAATGGTTTTGAATACCCTAAAAACCCTGGTGGATTAAAATCAATGAATGAAACAAAAAATCTTGTGATTCATTCAACAAAATAAAAAAAAAACCATAATTTGATTTTAGTGTGGCATCCAGGAAAATCTTTTCCTCTTTTACTTTCAGCTCTTCATGGGGCAATGGGAGAAAAGAAAGCAGAGGAGTGTTAATGATGAAAAACACCAAGTGAGAAATATAATTTGATTTCAAATGGTCATTTCTGTGGGGAAAAAAAAACTAGGAATCAGATGATAATGTTTTTAAAGAGTAATTTCCAGTTACATGTGTTGAGCCTTGGGCTCTTCATCGGTGCCTGAATGAATATTTAACATGGCCCTTTTCCATGCCAGTTTGCTACCTCAACTTCTCCTAAAATTTGCCTTTCTTCCAGCATTGTCATTGATGCTGGTGTCAATATCTGTTAGTCGTGGGGAGCAGCCTGAGCTGGCCTCTCACAGACCCCAGAGCCCAGTGTCCAGCCCACGAACCTCAGACGTCACCGGTGGGCCGGGAGGGAGTGTCACGTCCTGGCTTCTATCTCCCAGTGCCCCCTGTCCCCTCTGACTCGTGGTTAAACTGAGATATAATTATGCTGGAGGTGTGGCTATCAAATGTGGTATTATAATTTACAGGACCTAGTGCTTTGTGGGCTCTTTCTCAGTGTTCACTAATTAATCTTCCTTGCCCTGACTGTGTGGGTTTATCTCTACCTTGCAGTCGGTGAGGCTGAAGCTCGCAGGTCAAATGTCTTGCTCAGGGGTTAAAAGTCTTGCTCACAGCCTAGAGTGGAGACAGGAGCTGTCAAGAAAGTTCTTAATCAGAGAGTCCATCTCCTGTTTTTCACAGTTTGACCATGGCCTTTACATTTAGAGGAATCCCATTTTTGGCAGCTTGGCCTAGAGAGGTGGGAGCAGCCCAGGGGTGGGGAACATCCTCTCCTGTCCTTGCTCCGATGGACCTTTTCTGCTTGGGCTTGCTCAAACATCTTGCCAGGATTTTATTTTATGGGAATAAATTTATGGGAATAAATTGGATATTCTGACAATACAAATTTTCTAATGGCATGTGAAGGTTTCCAACACTTGCTTTATATTTAGTATGAGGTCTTGAGGGAGTAGCTTCAAGTTGTTCCAGGGAAGATTTAGGTTGGATATTAGGGAAGATTTCTTCATGGAAGAGGCTGTCAAACATTGGAATGGGCTGCCCTGGGAAGTGGTGAAATCACAAGCTCAGAAGGTGTTTAAAAGGCACATGGAAGTGGCACTTGAGGTCATGGTTTAATGGTGAAGGTCTTTTCTGACCTTAATGATTCTGTAATTTCATGTTAACCTGTTGGTGAGATTTATCAAGAACAAGAGTGCGGCGAGTTTTGTGGAAGATTTGTTCTAACATAGCAACAGATGGAGAAAAACAGGAGATTCAGGCCCATGGGACTCAGCAAGACACTGGGATACTGAAAGTGATGACCTTCCCTTAGGTTTAGCCCAATTTGCTAATGAAACTGCTGCAGTTGGTGCATTTTAAATATCAAAAATATTCTTTCTTCAGAAACTGTCAGACTGTTAATTCATAACCTTTGTTCAAAACTGTGTTTTAGGCCCTTGTCATGTGAGCTAACAGCTCTTACACCCCTCTCCACAGATAAGGCTTAGGCTTGTTCTGTATTAGTTGCTCTTATCATCTCTCAGCATATGTGCTTCTTTTGAACCAGAATAGAAATTGTAAGAAATTCCTGGTGTTATTTGCATATTGCCTGGACTAACACCTAAAAGGTAACACAGTTCAGCACAAACCAAAAAGCACAACCTAGTATCAAAAGTGAAACCACTGTCAAGACATCAGTATGAAAAATAGGTTTGTGAAAATATAGGCAAGTAAAGGAAAGAAATGTCATTTGATGTGCTGGATCTCAGCAAATGTCATATTGCTTTTACCCCATCTGTATGTGATAAACCCATACTCAGTAGCATTTCAGCTTTCACTGGGACATGAACAACAAAGTGGAGTATCCCAAGCACTCCTTGATGTCAGCCCTGAGAAACAGGAACGCCTGGGCAGCATTTCATCTCACCTCCTATTTGCTCTACCCCACATCAGTAGAGAAGCAGAATCTTTTGAAATCTCCACCAAAAGCACAGAGGTTGTGCCTGGATACCCTGCAGTCACCCAGCAGGTGCCTGGTGCTCCAGGGTGGCCCCTCAAGTTGTAGGAGATCGCTTCCAGCTCCTGCTGCTGCTGTGCTCAAACATCATAGCTGGATATCCAGAGCATGAAACTTGGCTCTCTGGGGAGGGAGATTTATCAGAAATCTCTGATAATAAACTAATTCCTTGTTAAATATTCATTGGCCCAGATAAAGGGGGTGAAAAGAGAAAGAACTTGGGAAATAACCCAGAAAGCACATGAGAGTTTTGCCAAAATGATGTATCCTCCCATGAGAGACTTGGGGTTTTACAGGTTAGTGTTTTTCTGAGGAAAACACAGGTTTGTTTTGGAAATTTTCACCAGCTTTGGTTTGAATTACACTCTACAAATCATAGAATCAAAGTTTGGGCTGGAAGGGATCTAAAAGATCATCTTGTTCCACCCCCTGCAGTGGGCAGGGACACCTTCCACTATCCCAGGCTGCTCCAAGCCCCATCCAGCCTGGCCTGGAACACTTCCAGGGATGAGGCAGCAACCTCTGGGCAACCTGTGCCAGGGCCTCATCACCTTCAAAGCAAATAATTTCTTCCTGATACCCAATCTAACCCTGCCCTCTCTCTGTTTGAAGCCATTTGCCCTTGTCCTATTGCTCCATGCCATTGTAAAAAGTCTCTCTCCAGCTTCTTTAGAGCCTTGCACAGTGGCAGTGGCCATGAAGATGAAACTGAGCTTCAGGAAGGTAGAAAATCAAGGCTACAAGAATTAGTAATTTGTGTCCTGGAAACCACATATTTCTCTAATTCAACACTGTCAATTGTTTTAATATGACGATAATTTGACCAGCAGAAACAGGATGAAACAGTAGAGGGGAGGAAAACACTGCCAAACAGTTTCTATATATTTTAATTATTTTTTGAGCCAATATTAGCTAAGAAACTTTGTGGAAGCAAGTGTTAAATTCAGGCTAGACTAGACTCAGGACTTTAATAAAAAGAGATATCCTTTATACAGGTAGAAAAATGAAAAAGCAATGCAGGTTCATGTCTGGGTATGGCTCACCCTCTTGTGTCTTTATCTAGAATTGCAGTCCCGTGGAAAAAAATTATTTTTACTGGCCTGAAATAAGAAGTGAAGGTGGTGAGTTCTGCCCTGCTCAAGGCTGGTTTATGTGATTCCAGAGCTATGGAAAACCAGGACCCTTCCAGGAGCTGCTGGAGGTCTGTTGGGACACCTGTGTGCTGCAAAGTTAGTGGGAAAGAGCCACAAGAACAAAGTTATCACTTCTTGCCTGCAGACAGATGTAGAGGAATTTTTGTGAATAGGTCAGAGGAAAAGTCACAGATACAACGTGTGCCTCTTATTTTACCTGTACAAAAATTTTCTACTTTTTTGCTTTGTACCTCTTTTCCTTTCTCATCCACACTCACATGAAGCATAAAAGAGCTTCAATATATCCATAAGGAGTTTTCCAAATTAAAAAACCACACCCCTGGATTTATAAATAACTTTAATTAAAAACTCTGTTTGTGAAATGGTGGTAAATCATGTGTTTATTTAACAGGAAGGCATTCCATTGACAATCAACAAAAAGTTAACAGGAGAAAATATAGTGTCACTTAACAAATTATGCAAAAAAAACCTAAAGTGTTTTAAAAGTGGGTTTCACATTAAAAAGAAACAAATCAGTGGCAGATCCACTGCAAGGAAAGACACAAAGTAACACATTAGTAGCTTAAACATGATTTCTACAAAACCTAAAATAACATCAGAGGTTATTTTGAGCTACTACTCTAATTTAAGTCAGAAGTGATGGCCAGATTTCATATAAAATTGTTACCTATAGGTCAAAGTGGGCAGATGCACTGAGAGTGAATACACTTTACAGTGGGTTCTGCTCCTTCCTGATGGTCTCACAGCAGCTGTAATCACACCCAGCAGGACTTTAGATGATTTGAGTGGTGCATTTGCAGCTTGCAGGACACTTCTTCTTCACCAGGGAGTGACTACAGCCAAACAACATTTTCAGATTTTTGCAGTTTCCAAGTAGATCTTGATACTTGCAAGGGTTGGCTAAAAAAAAAAAAAGAGAGAAGCAAACACATGAAATATTATTTGAAACTGAGGTCTGGTTTGATACTTCTGCATTTTCCAGAAATTCCAGTTGTTCATGTCTACATAAACTTTGTACATTTGCTCTGCTATTAAAATGGCTTGAATATTATAGTATGTTTTTTTTAAGGAGGATGGGGTGACTTACTGCAAAGTCCTCTGTCACAGTGGCCAGGACAGTCAGCACATTTTGGTCCACTTCTGTAAGGCATAGCTATTTGCATTGGGTTATTTCCTCTGAAATTTGGAGGAATTATGAGACAAAACAAGATCAACATGAAGCTCTGAACCATTAACAGGGGTTTATTATTTATTGCAGTGAAAAGCATCCAGAAGTTCTTGGATAAAAGTATTTTCATAGGCAGTCATGTTATAGTTTCAGATATTTATAGAATACAAAAAGAAAAAGTAAAGAAAAAAATTAAATAAGAGGATCAGTAAAGTTTAGAGAAACAAAATTAATTGATTGATTGATTGTATATCTATAGCATTATCTGGTGAAAAAAATGTATGTGCTTCCTAGCTCTGCTTGTCTAATAGATTTCTAATTAATGATTGAGGTAATCATACAATCACAGAATCACAGGCTGGTTTGGGTTGGAAGGGACTGTAGAAATCACTTAGTTCCAACACTCTGCCATGGGCAGGGGCACTTCCCACTAGACCAGGTTGCTCCAAACCTCAGCAAAACCCATCTGAAATACAGTTCTTTACCTCTGTGAATATTCATTTGTGGTCAGCTTCCACTTTACATCTGATTTTCTCCTTTGGGGTCAAAATTACTGTATGATTTATGCCTGATATCTGATTCTGACAGAGATAAACCCTTGTCCATCTGCTAAAATTTCCCTAATACCTCCTTCAATGCGAAATAAAAAAAATATTGATAGTCAGGATGCTGTTAAACCCACAATTCACATTGGTATTTTCAAAAGTATAAATGGTTAAAGTAGATTGCAATTATTTTATCCTATAGCCAAAGATGTTTTGGAAACATTTCCATAATCATCATGACTGAGTAAGAAGGCAATACGTACGCAGGGCAGTACTGGCAAACGTAAAAGTACTTGTACAAGCCTGTGGGACAGTAGGAAACTCCACATCCCACCTTGTAACTGTTGTACCAGATTAGCTGTAGATTAAAAAACAAGCACATTATTTCAGAGTGAATTCTTGTGAAAAAAAACCAAAACCCTCACAAAGTAATACAACCAGAAAAGAATTTTTTTTCCTTTCATTTTTTTTCTAGTCAGCTTTTACACTTAAGGTTTAGCTGTCATAAAGAATACATAGAAAAATGAGCTTCCTCCAGTTTCCAAATGTTTTTGAACATAATTTCTGGCAGGACACTAAAGTTGAAATTCAAATATTTTCATCATAGGTATTTTGCTTTGATACTTCTTAATCACTATTAAACACTATTTCAATCCCTGTATGGAAAATATTTATTTCTAAATTAAAACTTTTTCTACAGACTAATATTTCCTTTCTGGACAGCTCTTCCAAAATACTGGTTCCATTGCCTCCTAATCAGATGGAAAAGAATTTTAGCTTATCATTCATCTTTGGATCAGAGTATGAATTATAGATAATAGTTTGATGACACTGATAATTTTTTCCTGATTATAAATAACTCCCAGCTGGCTTAAGTGTACTCCTGTGATTCTGGTGTATCCCTGCAGTTTGTTTCAAGTCTCCATACCTGAGTGTAGCTCTCAACATTGACATTTTTCAAGGTTGCTCCATATCCATACTTGAAATTGGAGGACTGACTGTACCACACTTGAATTGCATCAGCCCATGTTCTTGGGTAGGATGACAGCAACACATTCTCACCACAGGTGACACCTGGAGTAGAAGTAAATCTATTTTATGAGGAGAGAAGCCAAATATAGGGTGGGAGGTGGGACAGAGGGGCTGTAACTATATTCTAAAACAGATGCCTATGATGCCACTTTGCCCTGTGATTTTAAGGACTTCCAAAAAGTTGTCTTTCAGAGTGTTCATCTGACAAAAATGATGGGTTTGTATTTAATAATCACAGAACCACAGAATGGTTTGAGTTGGAAGGGAGCTAAAGATCATCTTGTTCCAACCTCCCTGCCATGTACAGGGCCACCTGTCATCTAATAATCCTAAAAAGCTATTCTACAACAGATTAAAAATCATGCTTATTTCTTTTTCACATTCACAGGGGTCATCTGCAAACTGTCATTAACCCATCAGCTCAGGCTCCATCCTTGCCAGTACCATTAATAACTCTCTTGTCTCTTGGACTGATTTTCATGCCACACTGACTTGCCCATTTCTGAGCATTTTTGGCAGCTTTATCACTCCACACCTGAAAGACACAAAGGAAGAAGTATCCAGGTCACAGACAGGTTAGTGCAGCCCATGAGAAGAAAAAAAAACAAGCAAAGCAATGGCTTGGGTGTTGGGCACTGAATACTCCCATGGCCTGCAGCAGAACGAGGAGGACTTGTGCTGATTTCTTTCCTGGGGCACAGGAACAACATTTCTTCAACCCTTAAAGATTTCAGAGCAGGTTGTTCTGCACAATTCTACCACACAGTCCTGATCTCCAGATGGTGCTATTAAAAGGGTTTTTATAACATACCACTGTTTTCTATCAGCTTTGTGTCTGAATGAGCACTGCAGGGCACATTGGACTAAATGATACAAAACTGATTTTCAGCCCAGGTGCAGCTGAGTTGTGATTAACATCAGCTGGGCTTTGAAGCTGGGGAATATTTGCAGTCTCTGTGCAGGTTTAACTGCAAGACAGTGACCAGCTTATCTGCTTGTGGGACAGGGATGACAAGGACTATCAGGAAGGAAAGGGATGGGAGAAGTTTTGCAGATCTGAGTCTCTTTTGCCCTCCTGACAGTGTGAGATTCAGAAGCTGCTGCTTGTGCTCCTGCTCCTGCTTTGCTGTGCAAGCTCTTCCCTTCATCCAGGATTTGTTTCTCTTTCTAGATTCAGAGAATTGGAATGGACCTTGAAGGGTCATTTAGTCCAACCCCTGTGCAATGAGCAGGGACATCTTCAACTGGACCAGGTTTCTCAGAGCCCCATTCAGCCTGGCCTTGACTCATCCAGGGACTGGGCAGCCACAGCTTCTCTGGACAACCTCTGCCATGGCCTCACCACCCTCATCATAAAAATCTTCTTATTATATCTAATCTAAATGAATAATCTCTTTACTACTGAAAACCATTACCCCTTGTGGTATTGCAAGAGGCCCTGATAAAGTGTTTTCTTGTAGACGCCCTTTAAGCCCTGGAAGAGGCTCTAAGGTCTCTTGGATCCTTCTCCAGGCTGAACACCCCCAGCTCTCCCAGCCTGGCTCCAGAGCAGAGGTGCTCCAGCCCTTGGAACATCATCTTGGCTCACGCTGAGTTTCTCATCCACCAATACCTCCAAGTCCTTCTCATCAGGCTGCTCTTAATCCCTTCATCCCACAGCTTCCTTTGATGCTTGATTTGTCCCATCACTTCCTCTAAGGGAAAAGCAGGCCAGCTGTAATTCATAGCTCACCATCTTCAGCATGTTCCTGGCTGTGGGAATTACAGATCTCCGTATTTCATTGTGCATCTCAAGGATTTGTTTTTCATTTTGAGACTTAGAATGAGGAAAGGAGAAAACATTCACTTTTTTATATGGAAAGCCCTGGAAAAAATAATAGTGAAGGTCCCAGTTAACAGAAGTATGATAAACAAGATAAATTATAAACTTCTTGTCACTTTTGTTTGGACAACTGAACCTACCCCAATAATTGGTCTTATAAACCTTGTTTAAGACATTTGTGGTGGTAGAAATAATATCTCAGCCAGTTGTTTTAGGCTACAGCTGTACTCAGGTAAAGGAACAACTTACAACATGGTTCACCTCAGATTTATTGAAGAAAATTATAGTTTTCTTTCATAAAGTACTTGTTTCTATTCACTCATTAATAAGATTAATAACTTGATTAATAGCTCTCATGCAAGTATGTTCATAGCAGATATCTTACAAATCTAATCCTCTCTAGGTAATTTATGAATCATATTTCTGAATCTTAAATTATTTATTTATGAAAAATGTATTTTAAAAATTAGGCACATGAAGGGAAGAATATTTTGACAGGCTGAATCACAGAATTATTTGGGTTGGAAGATCAAAGGGCCAGTAGTTCTGAAGCCCCTGTCTTATAGAGGGACACCTTCCACTAGACCAGGTTGCTCAGCCAATACACAAATACTACTATGACTACTACTACTACTACTACTTAATTAATAATAATAATAATAATAATAATAAAATCTCTACAGAATGAGAATTCATCTTCAATGTGTTACATTAACATATTAACAGTTCTTGCACCCCGTAATTCTAAATCTCTAGAGATCACAAGATCAGACTATAAGACTATATCAGGTCAGATCTGTATACAAAGGAGTCAGATATGGGTGTTTTGCACAGATGAATGTTCCTACCTGTCCATCAGATTGGTGTAGCAAAGCAGCCAGGAAAATAATTGCAGTTAGTGGATCCATTTCTACAGGAGGAAAAAACCCCAAAACAAACCCCCCCAAATTCATTAGTCTCTGTTGCATAAGTTTTATGGCGTAATGTGAGCAAGACACAAAACTGTTGCAAAGTAAAGCCTGCACAAAGAAGTTTATTTCAGTTTAACCTGAATATGGATATGCTGAAACTGTGCATAGGCACCACTTCCTCCTACAGAGAGAAGACCCCACCTTGCATGGAAGCAGGGACTCTAAATAGCATAAAATTGTGTAAAAATTGTGTGTTTGGAATAGATGAATCAGCCTCCTTTCGACTTCTTTATTTAAGATATCTTGAATTTGCAGCATTTCCTTCATGTTTTCCTCCCTGTATATAAAAAAAGCCCAGAAGTGTCTTCAGTACTGTCACATCAGAGTCCTTCTCAAGCATCATCCATAGTGAGATTTGGTATTTTGGAGTGGAGCACTAAACACATGGGCTGTTGTCTTCATTTCTTTTGCACTTCCCTGTTTCCTTATCAAATCAGCATCATAATCACTCAAGCAAATGGTGGTGATCACCCTCAGGTTTCATCTGACACCTGGACATAAAGAAAATCTTCTAATATGATGTTATTAACAAATAATGTTGGCTACTGCACTCTGACTCCTGAGGCACCTCATGCAGGTGTACATAGACACTCTGAAACCCACTCATATGCACAGGATGCTTTTTCTGCACATCAAAAGAAGCAGAAGTTATATATCTTTGTATGGATGAGGATATATGGGGGGAAAGGTCTTTTTGGTTGTTAAAAAGATGTGGCAAAATCCCAAGGAAGAGTAGCTTTGAGCTCAGCAGGCTGCCTTAAACCAGAGAGGCAGAAGGGAAATAGAGAAAAAAAAACCCAACAAATATAAAATTTGTTAGAGCTGGCCTCTAAGAAAAATCCATGGTGTGAGCTGGACAGGTCAGTAGAAATATAGGAAATTCTGCTTCACAAGAAAACTATAATTGTAAAACAAAACAAAACAAAAAGTTTGTCCCCCCTTTAGTTTAGAATCACTAGCCCTTGTCCTGTCATGTCATTCAAATATTCATTCTTTATCTTGCTTCCCTGTGATTTCATAAGGAAATCATTTGCATGAAGTAGAGGCAGGGATCTCACTGATATTAATGGAGAATAAATTCTTAATCTGCAGGGATATTTTTAGACACAGAGGAGTTGTCTTGCCCATACACACAGAAAAAAAATCTTTTTGGGACTTTCCAGATTAAGTGCTGCAACAGGAAATGTAAAGTAATATGATGAAATACTACTTCACGTCTTCAGCTGCCAGATTCTACCATCAAATCTGTGTCTTGGACTAAATGTGTTGAGCTTTACTTTCAAAGTCAAACCATGATGGTTCCCAGATACAATCATCCTTTGCTGTCAATAGTGCTCAATCCACTAAATCACTTCTGTGCTTCTGAAAAACAAATGCCAGCAATGCATTTTTAGGCAGCTCTGCTTGAAAACCTGAAGTTTCATGAAAGTTTGATTGAGTGTAAAAAACAATAAAATAAACATTGATAGCTTCAAAGCTGTAAACAAATTTATATTTGAAAAACATGGTTGCTATGTTTAATCCTGGTGTTTCATTCCTCAGTAGAACCTTTCTCCTGCCATCTGATACACCATTCAGGACAGAGTAGGTTTGAAAGTTTGACAAAGTGGGAATATTTGTCTTTTCAGTTATTTTGATATATTTTTCCTCTACCTTCTCTGAGTTTACCTCTTTAAATTTCATTAAAATAACAAATTCACCCTCCATTAAGAAAAGATAATCAGCTTATTACTTATTATAATATATATTAGACATTTCAGCAGCATATATGCATGAAAGTTTGCACAGATAGTTAACATTTAGAGATGACAAAATTCTGAGTTCAGCTGTACTGGTATATGTCAATACTCAAATGAAATAAATTCAACACCAAAACTATTCAAAAGACATTAGAAAAGCATTTCCCACGACTGATAACCCCATGAAAAATGGATTATTTTATGTTCACACTTGAAGAAAGAAGCAAGTAGGTCCAAGTGTTACATTTTGATCTAAAGAAATATGGGAAGTAGACTCCACTGAAGCAATTTTTAATTCCTACTTACGGAAGGTATATCAGAGAATATACATTTTTATTTTTTTATTTTACATTCTTTCTCTGAGATATTATAAACAGAAATTTTCTTTCGATTATCACATTATTATTTATTGGTATAACTTAGCTATTCACTTTGTGGTACAATGAACAAGAGACTGTAAGGATAAAATCTCTGAGGCTGAAGTTCAGTTCTGTATACATTACCTTCATCCACCAGAATCCTCCTGTGCTTGGGGAAGTGGCAGGAGAGTGAAAGGCTCTCCCCAGTCCAGGGTTGCATATATATATACATTTCCCCTTTTTTTTCCTTGTCAATATTTATTGCTGATAAATGACATCAGCTTTGGGGCTGCCCATTTCTTACAGAACAGGTGATTGAAAATGAACCAATCCAGTTGCATTGTTCTGTGTTTTGTTTTTTTCTTGTCTCCAGGGTAAGGAAAAAGAGAAGACAGAAGACCTGTCCTTTTGCAGAACTTCAACTTCTAGTCTGATCAGCAAGCTACACTGCTAATGTGTTCACAAAATAAAAGCTTGAGTTCCAAGCTGGTTATTTTACAGTTCTCTTTCCTGTATCTGGAAAAAGAGTGGGATAAATATTTTGAGGCAGAGACATGAGTGAGCAACTTTTTGGCTGTACAAAGAACGACCTGTACTGTGGGCAACACAACAATGTTTTCTTCCAAGTGGTTCCTGAAATTCCATTTGCTGGATAAAACTTATATTCCATTAGCTCACTGAGGCTGTGGCACTGAGCATCACTTTTTACCAGCACACGTAGTGATAGGACAAAGGGGAATGACTTTAAACTGGGAGGGGATGGGTTTAGAATAGATATTAGAAAGAAATTCTTGACTATGAGTGTGGTGAGACACAGAAAGAGGTTGCTCAGAGAAGCTGTGGCTGCCCCATCCCTGGAAATCTCCAAGACAAAGTTGGATGGAGCTCTGAGTAATCTGCTCTAGTGGAAGGTGTCCCTGCCCATGGCAGGGTGTGGAGCAGGATGACCTGTAATATCCCTTCCAACCCAAACCATGCTGTGATTCTGTGATTCTACAAGTCTGCGATTCTGTGATTCTGTTTATTTACACATAACTCACCCCAGATGTTGCTCAAGATGAAGTTATTGCAGAATGGCTGCTGATGTTTCACATCTTCCATCTTCAGTCTGGAGAGATGTAGGACATGTGCCCTGCTCTAGTGCAGCATAAAATGGTTGGGGTTGAAAAGACCTTAAAGATCTCCAAGTTCCAACCCCCTGCCATGAGCAGGGACACCTTCCACTAGTGCAGGTTGCTCCAAGCCCTGTCCAACCTCGCATCACTGCTCATCCTTCCTTCTTGCAGAATCTTTTTGTTTCCACTCTCTTATATGGTAAAATATCACAAAGGCAACTTTGAAAGGTCCTCATTGCTCAAACACAGCCTTTCTTACTTCCTTCCATGCAGTCTGTTGGTTATCAGAAGGTGTAAAGCACCTGCACATCTCCTTATTCCTTTCTTGGTTCCCTTCCTCATCCTTGCCTTTGCTGTGACGTGTTGCACACTGAGCACCCTTTTTACCACACTGGGTGGAGGTTGCTGCCCCTGCTGCAAGTCAATATTGCCTCACTGTTTCCAGAGTTCTGCAGAATTCCTGCAGCTCTCTGCTGCTGCCAGAATTCTAATATTGCATTATAATCCTTGTGCTGGAAAATACAGCTGCCTTTGTTCTTTCTTTGCATAGCGGGCAGCACTTACAGGAAGTTGCCTCTGATAAGGTTTCCCATATCCTTCCATGTTCTGAGATAAGGGAAAAGGTACTTTTTTTATCTGAAGTGCTTGTGACAATTTTGATGAGACCAGGGTTATCACCATCAGAAAGCCTCATGAGACACCATCATAGTTCTTGAGCTTGCTTTTCTATTGTCTGTGAGGGGAAGCAGTCCAGCAGCTCCAGATTCCCAATGTCCTGGGAGATACTTCCGTTCCTTTACCCCATCCACCATACTCAACACTTTTCATTAATTCTCTACAGTCACTTGAGCTTTATTTGTACTGTTAAAATGAAATTATGCTACTACAAGTATTTCTTTAAAGTTTGCCCCACCTGTTTGAATAGTGAAAACCATTTGTTCCCTAAAGCATGATTGCCAGATATGCTACAATTCATGGTCTGTAGGTGAAATAATTAGGGAGAGATAAGAGATTAATAAAACTGACATCCGGAACCATGGTACAAAGAACAATTTAGCACAGCAATTCCCACTTCCCCATGTGGATTACCCGACAGGGTGGGGTAATTTAATTAAAAAATAAATTAATAATTGATTCCATTCTGCAAATGTATGTATATTTTAAAAGATAAATCTATGGAAAGTTCTTAAAAAAAGATCAGCTTGAGTGATTTGACTGTGGAAGTTCTCCTCCAGGCCTTGTGTAAACCTGAATTGCAGGAATCTGATTTATCTCAAGCAATGAAGACAAAAATCCAGTTTCTTCAATTCTTTATTTCCACTGAAGTCAATGACAGTTAAATAGCACTTTAGATTAAAATCCATGCAGTTCTGTGTGGTTCAGAACATTGCACAGATCTTTTCCTTGGCTGTCAGGACACCTTGCAGACCTAACTTTGTTTGGCAAAAAGAAACATTATTGATTTCTTCCACAGAATCCAAGTCACCTTCCACTCCAGATTATTATTGTTATTATTATTATTATTATTATTGTTGTCATTGTTGTTGTTAGTATTGAGAGAAGTAACAGAGTCAATCAATCAAAAAGTTGTTGTCAGAGTTATTGTACCTAAGCACAGTATAATGGAATAATGAAAAAATAAATTGTTATCCAGAAACTTTTAGAGGTCTAGTCCTTCTCTTGTGCTCCTAAAAGTGGTCTGTAAAAAAATAAGCTGTTCCTTAGAGATGTTTTTCTATATGTTTCTGGAAAGTTTTCAGCAAGGAGATTTCATGTTTTCCTTGGGTGATAAATGTCATTCTTTTGTAGTACTGCTATTCCGGAAAGCTTTTAAAATCTAACATAATAAAAATTCTAAAATTGCAGGAGAGGTTTGGGGTTTTGTGTATGTGTTTTTAAAATCTAACATAATAAAAATTCTAAAATTTCAGGAGGGGTTTGGTGTTTTGTGTATGTGGTGAAAGCTCTAATTTTTCACATTTTTATGAAGCCCAAAATGGATTAGCAAATGATTCAATCAGTACAATCATACACTTCTCATATCAAAGTTCACTATGTGCCTGTGTTCATGCTCTTTTCAATCTTTGCTGAAATGTGGCAAACCTGAGCACTGTAAAAATGCATAATTGTCCTTTTTTAAGCATATAGGGAGTGTTAATTAGGCTTCACTTTAGGTCTAGTTAGTCATTAGAAACATTTCCTAAATCTCTGGTATGGGACATCAGGAATCTGACTCCAGAAAAGAAATCTGGGGTAAAACTCTCTCCATCTCCTGGGACAACCCAATACTGAAAGCACTTGCATTTCAGCTTGACTTTTTCTTGCAAATAGATAGAATACACCTCTAAAGTCACCTTTGGGAAGCAACATATCTAATACATTTAAAATGTTAGATTAGAATAAGAGAAAATATCAGATACAGGTCAGTGAGAGAGATGATCTTCATCCCTTCAATCATATTTCTCCCATAAACCAAATAAATCAATGCCTGTTGTTAAGTGAATTACAGCAGTGTGGAGGGCTACACAGAAAGTGAACAGAGAAGAATTCTGTGTGGAAGCCATTAGAACAACACTATATTTTTCAGATATGTCTTCCTCTATGAGAGTCAGGTGTAACCAAACAAGAGCCCAGCTGATCCTCCAGAACAAATCCCTTATTTAACTAAATCTGGCCAACAGGAAACAGAGCAAACAAACCATAATGACTTTTCTTAGAATTCAAACTGACTTTTGATACAGGTGATTTATTAATTTTCATTGTTTTTTAAAAGAAGTTAGAATACACCCCTTTCTCTCTAACTAATAGTGAAAGACACAAAGCAATGCAGACTCAAGCTATCACAGGTATCTCCAATGTAAGGTCATCTGGAGGCATTTGTTTATTACTCATGTATAAAACAGGTTTTATGTTAAATTTACATGGTTAATAACTTCAGACATACTTGTCTGAGAAATACAGGCTACACGAATTGAATTTTTTTATGAACACCCCTTTGTTTGATGCATGTATTTGCTAGAAAAAGATTTTCTGTAATTTAGCAGTAGCGACAATGTGGGGCCTTTTACTGTGAAATATTTTAAAAAGTGTGTGTGTGAAATTCCTTAAAATGCTTATATTCCTTAAATACAACCATTTTAGTCTTTTCATGTATTTGACATAAAAATAAACCAGAGTTGTTGTAGAGGGTGCAGCAAGAAGGTTGATCTTCTCATAATGGTGTCCAGTTAGTAAAAAATACCTTGAACCTCTTGCAACAAAAAGTAATGATATGTTAGAAAGTATATTTTGGAACATATTTGGAAATCTGATTTCCAAGTCAGTGAGTCTCACATAGAACATTCTATTGGACTGGTGCAGTAAGAAAATGAGAAATATTTGGAGCTGTGAAAAGAAGCATTTATAGAAACTCCACTGAAAATCACAGAAGCTTGAAGAGTCATTTGGAAATGATATTGCTGATTAAATGCATTTTGATTCATAATAATTCCTGAACCAACTGCATTTGACCACAGCCAGGTTTCTTTGTGGAGCAACTTCTCACCTTTTTTTGTAGTGGCATAGATTTGACAACAGTCTGAAGCTGGAAATTACTTGATAGAAGATGAATAGACACTACATAACCAGAGGGAATTTAAAATACCCATTCAAAGCAGATTTTGACTGAGGGGGCCTTCCACACACCTCACTGAAGCTGAGCCTTTCACAGCCTGACATCCTGGAGCCATAGAGCTGCTGGAAGGGGAGAGAGGTAAGAGGGGGGCATTTATTTGCTGGGAAGGGCCCTGAGAAGAAGTGCTGCAAAGGCAGACACAGATTCCTGTTTTCTGCATCCTGCAGTATTTTTCCCTTTAGAGACATGTGATGTGCTAGAAAATGTACGCAGAGTCCGGAAAGATGTACCTAGAACACACTGTTCAGTAATGATTGGCAGAAAAATTATTGCTAAGGAAAAAAATATTTCCTGATTGAAACTGATACACAAGTTTTACAGCTTTCTGCTCTTGGAAAGTATCCAGTTGTTCACATGAGTATCAATGATATCTCAGTATGGATGCTTGTGTTAGTGCTTTTCTATGGTCAGGTCAGGGAAAAG